ATATTTACAGAGTACCACCTGTGTACCAGGTACTGGATTTGGAGGAGTAGGGGGGCCTGGGTTCAAATCCCAGCTTGAGCACTTACTCCCTGTGTGACCTTGGATAAGGCATTAAGTTGGACTCACTACTGAAATCTCCTGGACGAGCTGTCTCTCCCAGTCTCTGACTTTCTATCTGTATCTCCATTATTTTTTACACAGCATGCAGGTAACAGATGTTTTCATTCATTTGTTCATTCGCTCAATCTCTGGGCCTCAGTTTCTACATCTATGAATCAGGGAAGAGGGCCTCGAAGCTGTCTTGCTTCCCACCGGCTCTAGGTCACTAGCAGACCTGGGTGATATAAATGCCTAGGCCTGGGCTCTCGGGCCACTGGGGTTAGCCTATGGACAGATCCCCTTTAAATGCACTGAAGTAAAGTTGCAGGAGGGTCACAAAGGAAACCAATCATACTGAAATAAAGATGTCTTTTTTCCTGTCCAGGCTCACAAACCCTTGAAATCCACCTCCAAGGGGGAGCGAGGGGTAAGAGCCTCTGATTGGGGCCGAGGCCCTCCTCCTGTTGCAGTCCCAGGCAGCCTCACACTTGCTGTCTGTCCGTCACCCGGTTAGCCCTCGCCCCACGTGCTCTCGTGGGAGCCCGCTCCCCTGTGTGTCTCCAGTTACCACAGCTCAGAGGTAATTACCAGGCCTGCCCAACTGTTCCCTTTGCAGGGAGCTGCCTGCTCTGAAGTATACCTGGGGAGGCACCAGGGACGTGAGAGGAAACCAGGAAGAGCAGATTAGGGGAGAACACACACACACACACACACACACACACACACACACACGCAGAGTGATTGATGCCCCCCCTTATAGACCAGACAGGTCTCTGATTCCCAAGGCCTTGAGCCACACACAGCATCATTGGCCCAGGGCTGGAAGGGACCTCCGAGGCTGTCTAGTCCAACCCCTCCCCCATTTTAATGGGGAAACTGAGGCTCAGAGAGGGACCTCAGAGGGGCGCTTGATCAAGGTCACACAGGTAGACAGTGTCAAAGGCAGGATTTGAATCTGGGTCCTTAAAAGATGCTATTCAGTCTAAGCAGTGCCTTAATAAGAATGAGCCTGTTGGACAGAACACACCCAAGGATCGGTCATCCAGCCTTGGCTAACGCAGCCCACCCGAGCTCCAATCCCATCCTGGGAGCCCAGGCTCATAGAGCCCTCCCCTCTCTCAGCCACAGCGTCCTGGGAGGTAAATGAGAGAAGGGGCCTGCCAACCTTCAAGTGCCACATGATAAGAAATGACACCCCACCCCCTTCACGTCCTGCCCACAGACCTCAGAAGTAGAGGAGAAAGAGCAAATCCATTAGTGAAAAGAAAGAGGAAATCACCTGCCCACACTAAAACGAGGGAGGGAAGCCAGGGCCTTGTCTCTAAGAGACCCAGAACAGGCCAGCAGCCAGCACTGAGTCTAGAGACTGGGGCAGGAGGGGGGCCCAACTTCCTGCACGAGAAGGAGCCCCCGTGGGAGGGTGCTGCTGCCCCTGGTGTCCATCTTCTCGGCAAGGCCTGTTCTCCCAACACTCCCTCTCCTCCCACAAGGCCTCTGAGAAGCTCCATTAATGTTTGTGGGCCCCTCTCTCCAAAGCCCTCAATTGGAAGTATTATTATTAACAAGGTGAAAAAAAACCAGATTGAACCAAATAAATCCTAGTCATGTATAAACCCTACACCAGGAAATCAGAGCGCTCAGCACATTATGAGGCCTCCACCCATCCATTACCCTGGCCTGACAACCACATTACCATTTACATGGATTTATCAATAGTATTGATCCCCTGAACGTAAATAGCTAAATGGGAAGAGTCCAGCACACTAGGCATTCTTCTCCACAGGCCTCTGCAGACTGCCCAGCCCACCCCTTGCCCCCTAGGGAGCCCCCTCTCCCGGTGATTGGCTCACACTTGCCCAAGCAGTTAATTTCCACTGGGAAATATAACAGACTCAGAATAAAGGGAAACGGACAGCTTTTAGGATCAAGGGTACAGCCTAGGAGAAAGCAGCCGACCCTCTCAAACAGAAATGAGACTTTGCCTTCCCCAGCAGAGGTTCTAGGAAATGTCATCTCTCCCCACATCCCCATGTTTTTGCCCAAGCTGTCCCTCACCTCTGAATGAATGCCCTCTGCCTCTCCGAATCTTGTTTCCTTCCAAGTCATCCCCCAGCCAGAGTGAACCACTGCAAAATTCTTTTGTACATACATAGATGGGCACCTGTTACCTACCCACAGAATATAAGCTCCTTGAGGGCATTCCTCCAATTCACACTAGGTGGGTGACCTTGGACAAGTCAATTCCCCTTCCTGTGCCTCAGTTTCCTCATCTGTAAAATGAAAGGGTTTAACTAGATAGACTCTGAGGTCCCTTCCAGCTTTACTGCTTATTTTACTTTTAACTATAATCCCCCTTTCTACAAGAAGCCTTCCCCACCCCTCTTACCTCCAGAGCCTTCCCCTTATTAACTACTTATTTATCCCTCTGTAGTTTGCATGTGGCCTCCCCCCTTAGATTGTAAGCTCCTTGAGGGCAGGGAGTTTTGCCCTTTTTTTGTATTCACAGCGCTCAGTGTACCACCTAGCGCATAGTATCTGTTTTAAGAAATGTTTATTGAGAGGGGAGGGAGGGGGAGAAAATCTAGAACCCAAAATCTTATGGAAATGAATGCTCAAAATTAAAAATAAATTAATTAAAATTTTAAAAAAATATTTACTGACTGTGAGGTACTCTACCTACTCCACCCCAAATACAATAAGGACAAACAAATATGTCAATAATTCAATCAATACAAAAGCAGCTCTGTTTGGTGTGAATTACAATTACAAGCACCCCTCCGCATACCAGCTGGGAGGAAGTACAGAGTGGTCTAGAGATAGCAGGCTTGGAAGTCCGAGTAACCGGGTTTAAGATGCGCTTCAGAGTGACCACGAACGTGCCCCAAGGAAACTCTGTAGGACTTTTTTCCAGTCTAGTTGCAGAATAGCATAGGTGAGAGACTCCTAGGGCAAAGTTCTGCCAAACTAATAAAGTTACAGGCTTAACCAAAAACGAGGCATGCATGAATCTATTCTAACACTATTCAGATAGCTACCGACTTTACGGGCAGCCACAAGCCTGATGTTAATAGCGCTATTCCCCCCACCAGCAACTAACTCACAAAGTGGCTGCATCATCCTTCTGAAACACAGGTCACTTTCACTCTCGACAAACCACAGTCAAACTCCCCTGAGCGCCCTTCCTCCATCTCCTCTCCCCACCTGCACCCTCATAGGATGATTCTCTAGAGCTCTGTGGTCTTGCAAAAGAACAGAACGCTCAAATAACTCCCCCACCCCCAGCATCATAAAACTAGGGCCGGGGGGGGGTGAGAAAACAGGAAAAAGAAATAGCCATGGAGCAAAAAGCATAACCAATACCATCCCCCCCCAAAAAAGGCAAAATTAAAAATAATTCCAGCTCCACATACACTAGAAAGAGAGCGGCTTAAGCTCACAGGTACAGTGTTTTTGTTTTGATGGGGTTTTTTCAAATGGTAAGGCTCCAAAATGCAGCCGGAGTCTTCGCTAGCAGTTAGAAATGCTGCCCCCCCCCCCGCCTCCCCTCTGGGGCCAGGGGCCGTCCCCCCCAAGCATCCACAAAGGAAGATCAACAACACTGAATCTCAACTTCATAATTCTGTCACCAGGAGATACCAGGAGGGAAGGAAGGAGGAGTCAAGGCCAGCCGCCCAATGAGGCAGCACCAGACAGCCCTGCGGGGAGGCCAGGAACTCAGCCACAAACCACCACCATCACCACCTCCCCGCCCCCCCCCCCCCGAGCTAGGCCTCCCCAGGACCTGCCCCAAGAGAATCTGCTCTGGGTTAGGCTGGGTCCCAGCCACAAGACAGGGATTCCTGGGAGGGCCGGGGAAGAAGGGAGGGAGGGGGCGAGCCTTCCTGTCCCCCCCTCCGCTGAAAGCCCTCTGCGAGTGTCCCTTTGAGATTCCTGAGGAAGAGCCCCCTAGCACAGGCCCTGAGACAGGATATTCTGTCTGTCTCGGGGGAGGCGCACACACGCACAACAAACCACCCCCTCCCTCCGGCCCAGCGGCCAAGCCTGGGAGTCACTGCTCAGAGCTCTTCTAAGGGGTCTGGCACCGTTCCCTCCTCATGTGCAACTCGCACCCCCTCCCACGCCAGCGCGCACACACGCACACACACGCACAACCTCCCTCCCTCCCTCCCTCCCACCAGCAGCAGCACCAGCAGCAGCAGAAACACACTTCTCGGGCTCCGCAGGCCCCAAGGGTGCAGGAAGGAGAGGCCGAGGGCTCTCGCTGCGTGCCGTGCCTGCGTCTGCGTCTGCCTCTGCCTCTAGGGCACCGGCTGGACAAGTTCCACGGAGGGACCCGCACGGCTGGATGGGGGGCGCTGTGTGCACGCTGGCCCCCCCACCGGGCGCCCTGTCACCGCCCCCCGCCCACCCCGGCCTCCCGGGGCGCACCCCCGCCGCCCCCTCGCCCTCCCCGCCCCCAATCTCGGAGGCAGCACAAATCAGAGCGGCCACAGGGCGACCCCGGCTTCCGCCCCCTCCCCCTCCCCAGGGGCTGGAGTTCCCCTAAGTTTCAGCTCGCCGGCTCCCCCCACCCCCACCCTGGGGCCCCGGTCTAGACGCGGTTTTCCGACGGTGGCTGCGTGTTTGGGGAGGGGAGTGTTCAGAGACAGCCCAGCCCGGGCCGGGGGAGGGGGGCCGGGGTGGGGGGGAGGGGATTAACTCCTCGGGCCGGCTCAGCCGGGGAGGGGGGCTGGAAAGTGGGGGGGGTTTCTCCTCGCCCCAACTCCGTGGCCTTCGCCGCTCGTGGGACCCTCCCGCCAGCCCCGGAAACGAGCGCACAAAGGTCCGCGGCGCCGCCCCCGGGCTGGGGGAGGGCGCCCCTCCTCCCCCCCGCGGGGCCCCGGGGTGGGGGGCGGGCTTACCTTGCGGGGCCTCCTCCGGGGCTGGGCGCCCCCTCCCGCGGCGGGCTGCCTGGCGGGGGTCTCTGCAGCGGCGGCGCCGGGGGCTGCTCCCGCTCCGGCCCGGGGGGCACCTAAGACGCCGGCCCGGGGCCCCCTGTGCCCCCGAGGGCCCGCCGAGGGGCGCCCATGGGGGGCGCCGACGGGAGCTGAGGGGGGGTCCTGGCTGGGCGCAGCTGGGGCCCTCGGGGGGGCAGGGGCAGCGGGGCGGGCAGGGAGGCAGGGCCGCGGCTCCGCACGGACGGCTCGGCGCTCTCGCTCAGCCCCGCGGCGGCCGCAGCGCTTCTGGCAGCAGCGCGCGACCAGCTCCGGGCTCCTTCCCCCCAGACCTGCCCCCTTTGGGCTTCTTAAAGGGGCCGCGCCGCGGCGCGGCGCGCTCTCCCCTCCCCCTCCCCTCCCTCCTCCCTCCGCCGGGCCGCGCCTCCTCCCCCTCCCCCGCGAGGCTCCCTCTCCGCTCGCACACAGGCAGGCGGCGGAGTTTCTTTGGGCTGCGGAACCTCGCGGCCTCCCGCCCTCCTTCCCTCCTTCCCTCCTTCCTCGTTCTCCCTCTGACTGTGCCTGTGCCTCTCTTTGTGGCTGCCCCTCCCTCCTGCGCCCTGGCTCTCTCCAATCTCTCTCCCTCCCTCCTCTTCTTTCTCTCCCTTCTCTCTCTCTCTCTCTCTCTCTCTTCTTTCTCTCTCCCTCTCTCTCCCTCCCTCCCTCCCTCCTTTCCTCTGCCTCTCTGCAATTAAGGGGTCCCCTAAACTTGTCCTATTGACGTGTCATATTTTCCAGAAATTACTGGACCCAGAGTATACAAGAGGCCCTGACCACGTCAAGCATGGACCCCTTCCCACCACCCTCTGCATCTCCCCCCACCACTGCTTACTTCTTTCTCTCTCTGCTTCTATGTCCCTTTCCTCTCCTTCCCCTCTCCTCTCACATCTCCTGAATCATTTCCTGTCTCTCTCCTTTCTCCTTCACATTCTTCCTCTCCCCTCTCTTCTACCTTCCCCCTCTCTTCCCCTCTGCTCTCCTCTCTCCTTCACTCTTCTTCTCCCTCCTTTTTCTCTCTTTCACTCTTTTCCTCTCTTCCCCTTTACCCCCTCACCTCTTCTCCCCCATTCTCCTGCCCTCTATTTTTCTGCAGGAAAGGCCCTGAATGGGCTTGTCCAGGCCCTGGTCTGTTCCAGATACTTTCTTAGAATCACATTTCAGCTATTAAATTATGACTGTGGAGGGGCAGATGAGTTAGAGAACTCAGTGTTGCAAGAACGGTGCACCCACCAACATCCCACCCCAACACACACAGAGGCTTCTCAGCTGCGCTGCTCTTTGGGGCAGGTTGGGAGGTGTGCTAATTACATGTCTGCAGCTGTGATGGGGGGGTCATTATAACTGTGTCCTCATCCCCCCCCCAAGATTTCCTCAATAAAATGTCTTTCTCTAATCTCTTCCCCTCCTGCTCACTTGTCCCCTTAAATAAGTAAGGCCTAGCATCAAGCTTTCTGGCCTGTTTTGCTATCTCTTTTTCTGTAAGAAGTGAGATTGGCTTTTTTTTTTTTAGTTCCAACTTTTTTTAATGTGTTTTTTTTTTGGCATTACTTCCTTGCAGAGTCAGCTCAAGCCTTCAGCCAAAAGTCTGAAAAACACCAGAAAAAGGGGTGAGGAAGAGGAAGCAAGGAGGGCTGCTAGCCAATTATGTGCCCGCATCTCACTAGCTGGCCCAAAGTAGAAATTCATACAATAATACCTTTCATTCCTGTTTTTCAGTTCTGTTTTGGGGAGAGATGGAGGGACCCCTTCACTCAGCATTTCATGAAGGGGTGAGGAGAGAGAAAGGATGGCAGGGGCCTGGGGGTAACCAATTTTGATCCCTGCAACAGTCCCACAGTAGGCATTTAACAAATGCCTGCTGGTTGATCAACTAATTGTTAAGGGGGAGGGGGCAACAGCAAAAAATGAGTTAAGAAACTTCGATTAGATTGTGAGGGCAGGGACTACCTTTTTCCTTCCTTAGTGCAGGGCCTGGCATGTGGTAGGCACTTAATAAATTGCTTGTTGACTGATTTACAAAGCAGTGCAGTTGTCTAAGAAGGCTCTGCAAAAAGTCCCTGCCCTCAAAGGGCTCATATTCTAATGACAGAAACCCTGGAAAATCACTAGGTCCATATTAGATATGTTCCAGACTGGACAGAAGGTAATGAGGGGGAGGGTCAGAAAGACCCCTAGCAGAAAGTAGGATTAGAGGTGAGCCTTGAAAGAAACCGTAGGTTGGGTAACTCCACTGGGATCACGAAGCTCTTTGACCCCAAATCTTCTGGATTTAGAGTCCTTCCTTCCATCCCCTCCACCACACTGCCCAAAGGGGCTTGTTGTCTTTTAGAAGGATACTTGGCGAGGTGTAAACAGATCGGCAGATTATAGATTCAGAGCTGGCAAGAGCCCCAGAGCTGGCCCAAGGTCACACAAAATGACTCAGTATGAGCCCTCCCCTCCAGGCCAGCAGGACCTTGGCCCCTATTTGCAGAGCAGATGCTGATGCCCTTCCCAAACTGCTGGGGGGGGGGAGGAAATTCATCACCCAGTACCAAAGCTTAGGTCTCTCCAAAGTTAGCTAGGGCTGGTCTTCAAGAGCAGGCCTGTCCTTAAGCGCATTCCAAATTGGCAAACCCAAGCTGAGCTAATTCTCCAAATGACATCGATTCGGATATCTGGAGGAGGGGACTGGTAATCACAGGTCATAAGATCAAAGACAAGCTGAAAAGGGATGTCAGAGCTGATATAGACCCACTCCTCGTTTCATATAAGTAGACAGAGCTCTGGACTCCCTGGGGGTCAGGAATGCTTGAGTTCCGAGTTCTAATCTTGTTCCAGTCTCTTAGTAGCTGGGAGACCCCCCTGAGAAATTAATTTCATTTCTCTGGACCTCAGTTTTCCCATCTGCAAAATGGGGGTGAAAATAATAGCATCTGTTATGAGGCTCCCCTGAGATAACTTGCAAAGAAAGCACTTTATGAACCCCAAAGTGCTATTATTATTATTATCATTATTATTATTAACACAAACCTTAAAATGTTATTCTAATGATTGTTGCTGCTGTTCACAACAGATGAGGACACTGGGATCCCAAATAGCACCTTCCACTTTTCCAAGGTCACACAGACCCAGAAGACTTCCAGTAAGAAGTCATCAGTACAAGGAACCCTAAAACACCCATCATTTAATACAATAAAGAGAGGGGCAGCCTGGCTGAAGAGATTGAGGTCTACAGTCGGAGTCATTCGGTTAACAAATATTTATTAACGCCTACTGTGTGCTAGGCTCTGGGAGTCAGAAAGACACGGAGTCAAAGCCAGCATCCGATAGTTACCAGCTAATGTGGCGAGTTTTAACTAAATCTGATTCTGTCCCCCTAAAGGGGGTTCCTGGGATCACGGACAGAGCTAGAAGGAACCCCTCATTTTAGAGTGGAGGAAACCCTTCCCCAGCAGGGGAGTGAGTCAACCAGGGTCACTAAGGTTGGGAGGCTCAGGAAGGATTTGGAGGCCTCGTGTTACCATCTAACATTTATCAACCAAGTTAGAAAGTTCCCACCTGAGCAGAAAGCTTGGCAAGAGAATTAGAGGTGGTCAGAGGACCTGGGTTCGAAGTCGGGGGGGGGGAGAGGGGAGACACCTCATTTCTCAATGCCGGCTTCCACCTCCCTGACATGAGAGGGTGGTTTCTGCCAGCTCTAAATCTCTGGTCTTCTGATATGCAGAAATTCTTGACTCGGAGACCAGGTGCAATATATTCTTCAAGCATTTATGGAGCACCTACTGAATGCCTCGGGAAGTGGCCCAGATGTCCCTCATTTGATTATCTTCAATTTGTCCTGAGTATAGCTTCTTTGTACCTCCCTAGTTGTCTGATTGTTGTCTCCCTTGTTAGACTGTGAGCTCTCGGAGGGCAGGGACTGGTCTGGTTGGTTGGTGGTTTTATTTGTTTTTGTTTCTGTATATCCCAAGCTCCACGCCCAGAACGAAGTGGTTGGTGAGTACCTTCCTGTTTACTGACTGACTCACTGAACTAGAGTCAGGAAGACCTGATTTCAAATTCTGCTTCAGACACTTAGATAAGTGGAAGGTGTGGCAAGGCCTGACCTTGGACACCTTGCACTCTCCTGAAACAGAGCAAACAAGTGAGCCAACCTAGAAAAGGAAGGCATTAGAAACGAGGTGAGGAAGCCCACAGAAAATCCCTTGAGCAAACAGAGACAGAGTGTGAATGGAGGCTGATCACTCTTGGACCAAAGACCTTCAGAGCTTCAAGCCAACCCATTTCAGACATCCCCTCTTCGCCCTCCCCCAAGGAGAAAGGAGAGTTGGATTTGGAATTGGGGAGTGCTGGGTCCCAGCAAGTACGACCCTTGGAGGGCAGAGATGGTCCTTTGTGTCTCAGTATGCCTGACAGATAGAACAGCTAGGGAGCACAGTGAGTAGCAGTCCAGCCAGCCCTGGAGTCAGGAGGACCTGAATTCAAAGGTGGCCCCAGACACTTCCTGGCTATGTGACCCTGGACAAGTCACTTCAGCCTGTTGGCCTCAGTTTCTTCATCTGTCAAATGAACTGGAGGAGGAAATAGCAAACCACTCCGGTGTCTCTGCCAAGAAAACCCCAAATGGGGTCACAAAGAGTCTGGACACAACTGAAAACAACTGAACAACTAATCTCCCTCAGGTACAGAGGGCCAAGTGCTCATGACACGTAGTAGGCACCTGATCGATCAATGCCTATAGAAGGACTGCTTGCTGCTGAATGATAATCTCAGACAATTTTGCGGTGTTTTTAGACATTATCTCATTTGAATCTCCCTGGAGACACAGATTGGAGTAGCAAAGTCCCTTCTCAGAGGCTGCAGTTGTTTCATCTGTAACATGAGAGGTAACATGAGCACTGAGAGTTTGTTGAAAGCCATGAAGTCCTAGGTAAGTAGAGGCTGGGATCGAGAGCTGGGCCTGGAGTCAGGTAGACCTGAGTTCAAATCCAACCCCAGATACTCGCTAGCTTCATGACCCTGGGAAAGTCACATAAAATTTCAGTTTCCTCATCTGTGAAATTGGGTTAATAATAGTACCTTCTTCTCCCCAGCTGCCGTGAGGAGGATCAAATGGGATGTTTATATAAACCAATGGCTAACATTAAAGCTCTAGCTATTATAACTATTAATGTCCCAACCTCTGACACATAGTGTGGCTACCTGACACTGAAGAAGTCACTCCTCAGGGAATGAATGTAGTGTCAAGGAAAGTATTCGGTTCAATCCGAT